GCCCAAGATAAAGATCTCCTTGCAAGAGCAGGAACCGTGGAATTGTTTCCGAGCTGCTTCATCCCCCTTGGCAGCTTGATATCGAGGCTCATAATCAGCCTGACATCTTTGAAGGAGCACTTGGCGGAAGCTGCCCCTCTGTGAGCGAATGGTCAGGCGACGGGACAGGTAATTACACAGGCGAGCTCCCCCGCTGCGGAACTTGGGCACGGACGTGGCCTGTTGGTAGATGAGGTCCACCAGTTCTTGCAAAGCCTCGTCCGTGGTGACCCGGCCACTCAGGGTCTCTGCAAACTGCTCCATGTCAGTTTCACAACTGCCAGGCTGCTCTGTCAGACGGTCCAAGAAATCCCAAACGAATACGGACAGAGGGAGCTCATCCTCGCAGGGTCCTGGTGATTAGAAGAACCTCAGGGGTGGAATTCAGGGCGCTGGCTGTCAGCGTGGGCATTCACAGGGGAGCGACGACCACCGGAGACTCGGACTCCCAGTTCTGCTGGGACCTCGTTTGTTCCAACAATGTCCCTTCAGAGGGTAGGAAAGGAGCGGCTGCAATTTTCCTCCCAGGATCTCCCTTGCGGACAAACAAAGGGCTCCTGTGGACCATGACCATGCATGCCGCGGGCCCCGGGTGGCTTTCAGGGTCGAGGCTGGAGGTGAACCGCACTGCCAACACAGTTTCATTGAGAGAAGAGCAGCCTGTGCTCTGGAGTCTGAGCGTTGTTTTGGACCAGTGAGGGGAGCTCAGGGCTGTGACCATAAAGTAGAAACCCTCCCATTTGCCCCCGTGACCCGTGGGATGGAGGTTGCACTGAGCTCGGTCCCCTAAGCGCTTAGCAACGCCCTCACCTACCTTGATGGCGCCTCAAACGTTTCCTCAGGTCAAAATACACCTCGGGGACGTCGCACTCGGTCTCAATCTCCAAGACCAGGGCCTCCGGAGTCTCCAGCCGCACAGCCTGGCTCCTGGGGGAGCAGAGGCCAGAGCTGCTCAGGGGGCACCCCGCAGCTCCGCACCCCACTCCCCCTCGCCCTTCCTTCAGCACTCACCTGCTCAGGGCGCCCTTCACGTCCTGCGGGAAACAAAGGCACAGGTGAGTGTGGGAACACCATGCTGATGGGCTGCTGCTCCCTCCCAGAGGCGCAGGGCAGGCCGGGCCTTGGGTTCAGATGGGATGGGGCTTACACCCTGGTCGGTAGGGCACCTGGATGACTGTGAAAAGCAATCCTGTTCTTTTAAATCTTAGGACACACACACTTATGGGAATAGGGGTACGTTTCTTACATGTGAACAGGGGTTACGCTTTGTTAAGTTTCCCTCCCAAGCCCTGTGTGAAGTGACTGGGGAGGTGACTGAGCTGTGAGCCCAGCGAGCAGAACCCATGAGCAGGGTCAGGCCCACCCACCAGGAGCCAAAACACCATCTGACCAACAGCATCTCATCGCCTGGGGACTGAGGACAAGAGCTGACGGCTGACACCCCCAGGGCTGCACACAGCACCCAGCCCCTTCCGCTTTGTAGTCCTGTCCCTGCACCTGCTGGGAGACAGGACTTGATGCGTGTAAGCGCCCTGCCTGCTGGGTGGGCCCCTTCTCAGTAAACGCCATAAGGACTCATCCCTGCCTTTGTGACTGGACACAGCGGCAGGCAGCCGAGCCCACCCGGGGTTTCCGGGAAACAGATGGACACCCCGGGCAACAATCCCCACTCTGGTGTCTGCACAGTCAGCACAGCAGGACACCTCTCAGCCTCTGAGCCTGGCGCCCTCAGTGCTGAGGTGCTGGGGAGCCGGCAGCTGCTTAGAGGAGCGGGGAGCCCCCCACGCTCCCTCTGGCCTCACCTCCCTCAGAGCGCACCTGCCAGAGGCCACACATCACAAAGTGGGTGGGTGCACGGTGCCCAGACTGGGCCCTGAGGTGGCGGCCACAGTGACCCAGGGGGCGCAGCAGCCATGAGACATGGTCACCCTGAGGGGCGCCCTCCAGTTCCACCAGCCGGACTTTGGACCAGCAGCGGCCAGGGAGGTTCATAGTAACTTCCATCGTGTTTAGAAAACTGCTGTTAAAATTCTCTGCTGTTGTTAGATAATCCCTTGTTCTGTAAACTCTGTCATTATAAATTCTGTCACTTTAAGACAGTCTGTTATTCTGTAAAATAACTTTGATTTTAGTTCAAATAATAGAAAAAGATCAATTTAACTGTCTGACCTTGCTAGCTAGCCATCCAATGTAATAGACTAAAATAGACTAATCCTGATAATAGTTATGCCGGGTACAAACTCATTATGTATTCAAGGTTACAACTGTCTGTAACATTAATTCACAGAGAGCACTTTGTAATATCTGCAAACAAAGAGGCTCAAAAGGTATAAAGATGGGAAACTTCCTGGATGAGTTGCTCAGAGATTAGGAAAGAGACACCTCCCTCTGGGCCCCACGCAATAAACGACTCCTAGTTAATTGGCTCATTAAGGTCTCTTGTCTGTCATTCGATGATTTACCATAAACAGAAGGAGGCCCATCAGGCCAGGCTCACCATCACTTACTCGGGGGGCCCCACCTGGTCCCCGCCATCGCCTGACCTTCAGGATCCTGTGCCCTGGACACAGGCACCTGGGAGCGGAAGCCATCCCCTGAGCCTGTTCGGCCTCCGAACAAACCCCCTCTACCTGCAGGGGGGATTTCATTTTTCTTGATCCTCACCCGAGGATAATTTTCCATTGATTTTTAGGAAGAGGGGGAGGGAGAGGGAGAGACAGAGAGAAAAATTGATGTGAGAGAAACACATTGACTGGTTGCCTCCTGCACAAGCCCTGACCATGGCCTGGACCAAGGAAGAGCCTGCAACCGAGGGACGTGCCCTTGCCCAGAATGGAACCCTGCACCCTTCGGTCCTCAGGCTGATGCTCTATCCACTCAACAACACTGGATTTTTGAGCCAAATCACAATTTTCTGATTTATACATAGAACGCTGGAGACCAGTGGAAGCCACCTTGTAGAGTTTATATTCTGCTCAATATTCTAAAAAAAAATAGCCTTAGCCCAGCTGGGGTGGCTCAATGGTTGAACATCAACCTATGAACCAGGAGGTCAGGGTATGATCCCCTGTCAGGGCACATGTCCAGGTTGCAGGCCTGATCAATGATTCTCTCTCATCATTGATGTTTCTATCTCTCTCTCCCTCTCCCTCTCTCAAATCAAATTTTTTTAAAAAAACACATTAAAAAATGATAAGAAATAAAAATAAAAGAAATTTGCCTTTATGCTCTAGCCGGTTTAGTTCAGTGGATAGGGCGTCGGCCTGTGGACTGAAGGGTCCCAAGTTCAATTCAGGTGAAGGGCACATGCTTTGGTTGCAGGCTTGATCTCAGGCCTAGAGCTGGGCATCTGTGGAGGCAACCAATCAATGTGTCCCTCTCCCATCGACGTTTCTCTCTCTGTCTCTCCCTCTCTCTTCCACTCTCTCTAAAACCAAAGGAACAATATCCTCGAATGAGTATTAACAAAATAACTAAATAAGAAAAAGAGAAATCTGCCTTTGAATCCCCTACACTGATGGGCCACAGCTGAACGAGGCAGGCGGTCCTCTGTTCCCACGCTCCCCCACCTCCCCCCCCAGCACCTCAGGACCCGCCCCCGTGGCGTCCTCCCAGGCTCAGCCTCACCTGCAGCAGCTTCTGGGCAGAGCCCTGGCATCGCTCCTCCAGCTCCAGGATGTGGCTCTCGAGCTGGCGGCTCTGCTGGTCCAGGTCGGCCTCACTGACCCTCAGTCTCTGCAGAATGCGCTCTTCCTCGCTCTCCTCTCCACAGG